GGAAGCTTTGTATTGTAAGAAATGTGGGCGTCAACGATATAACCTTCTATACACTATCTTATATATTTAAATGCTTATTTCGTATTTGTTTGATTCACGTGAGGTTAATTAATAGTTGCATAAACAAGTAAACAATAAGTTACGTTGAATTGTTTAGTCTAATCAAAGCTAAATATTATCTGAAAAAATCATTTGGTTTTTATAAAAATATGTATCATTTTTTCTTCTCTTTCTCTCTCTCTCTCTCTCTCTGAAACTTATATCTCTCTCATACATTTTTTGTTTTGTTTTAATAGTAAACTAGGTAACGAACTGGTAGTATTTGAAAATGTAATTTTAATGTGAATGAATTGTCACAATTTACAAATATGATAATAAAAAGGCTATGAAATTATTTATTTCAGAATTTTAGTCATTATAGTAATATGCACCTTAGAAATAAGCCGAAATGTTTTGATTGAAAAAAAGAATATAAAAATATATTGATTTCTAGTAAATAGATGAAATTTCAATAAACGTCATATAATGAATATATTATTAATCCATTATTATTTGCTAAATCCACATCATTGCTTACAAAGTTGCTGTTATTATCATCATTTGTCATTTGAAGTTATACAGTGATGAGTCAAATGTTAGATACAAGTTTGGACTCCTTAGTTACGAATCAAAACTGAACCATATAATTAAATCATAATGATGCTTTGACAGTAAATAATTTGATATAAAATGATAAAAAAACTGGCTTTTACAATAAAGCTTATAATTTCTCGTGAAAAGCCAAATAACGAGCAAACAATATTGAGTAAATGCAGTTAACACAATCTTGGAAGACAAATATTAATCTGACAGAAGTAATAACTAGGCGACCTTGAGGGCAATATTCTTATGGCAATTCATATACTTGGTACATTAATCGCTTTGATAATCGTTACTATGATTTCTAAAGGTGGATAAGTTTCAGAGAACTTTGTAAAGGTTTATTCCATCACAACATAAACCAAATGTTTAACAAGCACGCAATGCGAGGTGAATTAATTCTATAAGTAATTTTACAAGGAATTCAAGTAAGCCAACAAGCAGATTAAACAACTAAAGTTTCAACGAGCAAGAGGAGTAAATTCATGGTATCTAAAGTGTAATAGGTCATACCTGTTAATCGAAGTATGGAAGTACATAAAGATTTAGACCAATTACTTTTGTCGCAAAATGATATCATCTGTCTTTCAAACAACTTATTTAAGGGGGAGAAACGGATGTGGTGGCGCCACGAACCAGTATGAAAAGCGAGTGCAAACAAGTGATTATATTTCCTATATGATGGTACAGTTTAATGTGAACAGTAGCAATATTTGCTTCTGCACACAAACGATCTTGCTTTTGCTGTTTTGTCCCTTTAGCTCATTTTTTTGACACGATTTCGGTATTATTCCGATATCACAAATTTGTCAGCAAATATACTTATTTCACCTGAACAATTTCATTCTCGTTTATTATTAATTCACGACAGGATAACACTTAAGACCCGAAAGTTATTGGTTGGAAGACGGGTTCACAGTCATCTTCAACTCGAACACTACAAGTCTGAGATTGGTACCTTTTTATATTATGTTACATAACTCAAGCTTAAAATATTTAATTATGGGTAAGTTTCTTTCCTATTGTCAACAGTTACAGATTTACTGAACTAAATAGAAAAGGCCATAACATTGAAACTAACTCATTTCATGCAGAAGTAAACCGTTTTCAGGAAGTAGACAAGTACTGAAAAAATAACTTAACTTAGAAAAACAATCTGCCACAAGACTGTATCAGTTAAAAGTACTACAATGAACATCAACACAATCACCGAGAATAATCAATGGCAACAACACAACTCATCAACAATAGCAAGGACATAGAAACATTCTATTGTATGGAGCTGACTGAAACTTGGAGAACTACTACAAACATTACTAAAACAGTTCACATATTTATAAGCAGCTGTCTATGCAGCATATCCCAGATCCATTTGTCAAAAGTCATCAACAATAGCTTGCTGTGGCAGAGAACAAACCAGCCAACAGCTGAAGAGGAAATTAGGAAGAGAGGCTGTAAATCGATGAAACACACTTTACGCAAATCATTAGATACAACATTGAAAGGCAAGTCCTAATCCAGAATCTTCAAGACAAACGAAAAAGATGCAGACCAAATACCATACAGAGTCAGGAATTGGAGGCAGACATCACAAGAATGAATAGCCCTTAACGGCAAACAGAAATGAGAGTATATGATAGAGTTGGTTGCAAATTCTTAGTAGATAACCTATGCTTCAAGAGTAAATAATAGGCTTCAGTAATGCTTAGGTTTAGAATCAACCCTAATATTAATTTCATTTCAAATATGGGATATTGTATTGCTCTGTGCTATTTTTTTATTTCTTGTATTAATACTCAGTTTGATATCTCCATCTATGCAGAGGTGAGTAGTACATTTTGAATAAACCGAAACGTGTTTATATAAAGTTCGACTTTATTATTTAAGTAAGTACATTACCCAAAGAGAAATTAGTGATTAAATATCTGCTATCAATTGGCATTATTTTATTTAGCAGTCCCACCAAAACAAACAATTCTGTTTTATTCCTAAATGTATATCTCATTTAGCACTTCAACCGTCAGATGAACCATTACCTCATACTTAGAAAAAAATCTAGGTGAAGTGAATGAAGTTGAAAATAAGTAGAAATTAATACTACACTAGGATTCATGTTAGTCATCATAATGGATTTAAGATAACGACAGTTCAGCAAGTTGTATTGACGATCATTTATATTATTCGATGAATAACAGAACAAATAATATTGTTTGTTGAATAGTTAAGTAACGTTTCTAGCGTTTGGTACTAATATGACAATACAGATAACAATGGTCAAACAACTTGAACGATATCGAATCAACTTTTCTAATAAGTTTGACAGTAAAATAAAACCATGAAACGTGCAGTCACAATCATATACATACGCTCGCAATTAGATTAGAATGAACAAAATATATGACTAACACTTCCCAAATATGAAAAAATGTTACTGTTATCTACATGTGACATATCACAAAAACTACTAAAATTGAAAAGCTACAGTCTTCCATGAGAAGTGTATTTGAAATCAAATGGATTTTGGGTAAATAAAATCAAAGGCCATATTAGTTCATGCTAAAATATTATGACTATGTTAGATTAAAATGTGACATATTGTATAATGTAACAATTAAATGTTCGTTGTAACAGAACTAGAAATAAATCTTAATTACAACAAAGATTAGAAGTAATAAATTGGACTACGTGAATCATGTATACAGTTCTTTTTAAAATGATTAGGATGAGCAAGAATCACAACAGTGAACATTCCTTACATAAGTGTGTGATCGATACAAAGAAAGGAAATAATATCACGTGAAATGGGGTTAGAAGCTCATTTCAAGTAAAAATACTTTAAAGGCATCATTACACGTGTTAATGTTAATGCATCAAACATGATTTAGAATGTATTTTCTAATTTTAATTCAGCTATCTATACTCATCATTTTTGTGATATGATTACTAGTTGAAGCCTGAAATGATCATTGTTTTACTGAAAAGGTATCCATACAATTTATTTTTTGATTCAGTTGCAGTTGACTACTGGGAAGTTTTAGTCCTCAAGTACACCAACAGCAATCGAGCTTATTTTAATTCGATTGAAAGAAAAGTATTACATGGAGTGCATTTAGATTATGCGATGAATTTTAATCAACTGACCGATAAATACAAGCATTATTAGGTCCATATATTTTTTTCTGTAATTTGTAGTGTGATTTAAAGTGCACCCAAAAATTTTAAAAGTTAATATTATTGACAGTTAATGGAGTAAACATATTTGAAAGCTTTCAGAATTATTTTTCCGCACTAGTTTATATGGTTCTACGTTCAAAATAGAGTGTGCACGTAAGCCCAAAAAACAATAAATCAAAAATTTAATATTGCTGTTTGTAAATTAGTACGATATGCTGATAAGAGTAGTTGATTATTTATGTAACTTATCATGTTAAGGTTGACGTGCCAAGGTCATAGTCAAGCTTTTATGATGTGAAGACTACTGCTGGCATCTGACTACTTAATTTGAATTCGATAGAGATTAGTTAGAGCCTACGACCAATTTCTTAACATTTGAGTGATTTACAGCTAAAGTGTTTTTAGCCAGCATGTTCGGAGTGAGCGAGATAGAATTAGAATACCATTGTAAATGTGTTGATTTGTAGCCTAAATTAATATATGCTAGAGAATATAGTACAATATAATAAAATGAAATGACTGTTTCGGGACCACTTTGAACAAAATGTACTGCATTTTTTGTAAACTGAGTAGGCACGTCTAAAAATGTAAAGCTATGGAGTTGAGGTTCAGCATGTCGATGTATTGCTTGAAGGCGGAAGTTATAGCCAGATCTAAAATATGGCTGAGTTTAATTAATCAAAGTGTTACAGTTTAGTTGAAAACAGAAGAAAGGCAAATTTTGAGATTATCTCAAAGCGAAGTTCATCTGATATATATATATATGTAAACAAACCGTAAGTTCCGTAACCTACAGACAACTTGCGACTACCAAAGAAATTCTGAAGGATATTTCTGGACGGTACCAGAATGAAAGTTGCTGAAAACGGGTAAGCACAGATATTATCTTAAGACAAAAAGGCCCCAAAGTGATAAATAGTTGTAAGGAATTCAGCTACAACTGTGATTGAAATCTCGGTTATAAAGTAGCAAATTCTTTAGGTTAATAGATAGTTCTTATTTTTATTAACTACGACATAGGAATAATGGCGTTGGAGAAAATTAGTCAGATGTTTCAGTCAAAGAAGACTACTGAAGTTTCTGTAAGTGTAACTGTCCATAGATTAACTTTCAGTTATTAAAATGAACGTAATATTTTACAAAAGCTAAAAGTAATAAAAAAATAATAATAATAATACAAAACTAACTATAAAGCCCAAAATTTTTCGAAAATGATTGAGCGACAAACATCTCCATTCCCATTGAAGCAAATAAACGAACAGCCCATGCATCATTGTCTAGATCTCCGCTGGCGAATCCTTGATAAGCCATGTCAAACACAGGGAAAAGTTTCTTTTCCTGAAAAAATAAAATAAGTGGGTAAACCATCAAAAAAGCATGAATTAATTATCTCAAATAATGTGATAACGCTCAATTCACAGTTAACTTTCAATACAGCAGAAATGATCATAATCTTTTCAAAATAAATAATAAAAAAGAGATATTCCAAAAGCTTTTATCACTAAATGCATTTGTTCACATAGACAAAGAAAAACTATGTAAAGTCAAGCAAGCACATTTAGATGGAAGTTTTAAACCTTAATATTACTCTAGAAAATAATCAACACAATTTGATATGATAATATAAATGAAATTAAAAAGTTGAAGATACTGTTATACGCTGACCGAGTGCGTTCATGTGACTTTCAGTCGAACCAAGTAATGAACAAGCGTTTCGACGAAACACTTGTACATTCGTACATATATCATCATTTCTACAAACCAATTAGGAAGAATTCGAACGCAGCCCTTATTTATTAGTGAGCAACAAAATGCTAGATGTGCACACAATAATAATTTGGATTGTAACGAACACTGGCATTTAAGAAAGTGTATACATTACTTATTATTTAAGCATATAAATCTTGGTATAGCAAATAAGCTTTTTCTTCTCAACTATGACATAAACAAACAATTCCTCAAAAGAATAACATTGATATATCATGACAAAACAAACATAGACAGCGTTTTAAGACAATGATTTTAAATGAATTGTTGTCACTGTCCGAATACAGATTGCTGGACTTTAGCATTATTAACATGACACTATCATGTGAGTTAATCTTTGAAGACAACAGTGGTCTAATAAGGAGAGCTGGTGAGACTTTAGCTCAGGACAACCGGGTTTCACAAATATAAGACAGAATTACACTTACTAACTAAATGTAAACCGAACCTCTGCAGTCAGACTAATGTCACGATAGCGTTGAAAATAGCTTACATTGGTACAAGTCGATCTGGATTTTACAATAGACGAATTGACACTATCTGTTACAACCAACAGGACTTACAACTACACAAGTGTTTTGACCCTTTTCAGCAGTGTACAATGGAGAATGAGTGCAGGCAAAGACTACCATTAGTCTTTTAACCGTGATTTGTCTTGAATGTAAGAAGTACATTCCGTATTAACAGACATCCATTCCCAAATGACTATGTTCGACTTAGATTGTATGAGTTCTGGTGAACTTCATGACATATCATCCTAGGACCTGAAGTAAAAGTTCCCCCAGACAACAACTCAACTTCATTTTTCTTTAATTGCCATTTGTATACAATATTGATGGAAAGATTCGAGAATTGTGCGATTAAGAAACTGTCTAATCCTACAATTGTATTGGTATAGTGTGGAACGGTGGCTATATTTTATTTTAACTTAAGTTTATATGTGCAAGGTCTGGTAACCTGTAAGGAACCAAGCTCTGGGGATCTTAGGTCGCCGGCCACAGAGCACTGGACAATCTGGTCGACGTTGTTGAGACAGCTGACTGATTCAACTTTCAAGATGCCTCAATGTTTCTAGTTGATGTTTGCTAAACTTTACAAACTGTTTCACTGACACCAGACGTCTTGTTGAGAGCACCTTGAATTAGTTAAAACGGCTCCCTAAAGTTATCATATAAAACTGTATTTTCAATTCATGACACTTTGATTATCATGTAGCTTGGTCTTTAAGAAAACCTCATATACTAACGACTCATATAAGCAACCTACTTGTTTTCAGTAGTTGAAACATGTATGTCAATGAATGTGAAGTGTTAAATCTATATACAAACCTTAGTATCGATCTCTGGAAGAAACCGTCTAAACATTTGTTTAGTTGAGTGCAAGTAAGTTACAAGTAATCAAAAATGGGCTTACCTTAATAAAGAGTGCCAATTCCTTCCACTGGTCATGGGATAAATCAGTCCCTGTTGGATTGTGGGCGCAGGCATGCAGTATGACGATAGCTCGTTCAGGAGCTTTGTCTAAGTCTTCCAACATCCCTGAGAAGTTGACACTTCTAGACGCAGGATCCCAGTACCGATACTCGTTTATATCCAAACAAACAAGCCGAGATATACCCTTGTGGTTAGCTAAAAAATTACTATTATAGAGCAATAACATACGCCATGAAGGATTAGAAATGTAAACTGTAGTGCATTTGGAAATTTTCGATAAGAATTGAAGAGCTAGGTAAACTGCGCCCGTTCCCCCTAATGTTTGACAGCTGTCTACCTAGTGTGAAGATAGTAATGGATGCAGGTAATTACTTTTTTAGAAGCAATCAGTTTACACTCTTCTCCAAGGACGAGTTTCGTTGCCGCTTTGCACATACTTTCGATACCAGACACTGGAAGATATTCTTTATCAAGTTTATGATCGGCTGCCATGAGAGATTCAACTGTTCGAACTACAGGCAGAACCCACGGCTTCCCTTCATTTGTTCGATATGCTACAATCATTATTGTTCATGAACATCGAAAACTTACCACCAACACCAAGGTTAACTTTGTGAGAATCTTTGTCTTCATTACATGCTTCTGTTAATGCGTATACTTCTATTGGTGGTGCATCATGAACTAATTCAAAAAACGACATATTTGTCCTCAAGCTCCGAAACAAGTGACAATCTACGAGTCAGGCGCTTACCTAACAACCTTAGACGTTTAACACAACTTATAAGGATTAACAAAATACTGTTGAGTTGCGTTATTTTCCACACTGCTTGATCCTTACACACAAATATCTGAAAACCAGCATTATGCAATGCTGTCTGTTTTCAAAATTTCTTCTTATCCACTTATTTTCATCCCAAGTTCGTAACAAACAATTAGTCTTTATTTGTGAGGATGAGATATCCAATGTTTTCTATTATTCCTTGCAATCTGTAGTACTGTGAAGATTTAATCTTGGTTTTAATAATTCAACAGTGGTTGGTGGTATTACATGTTGTGTAAAGGATTCCAGTAATTCACTACTCTGAGATTGATGGAACTCCAGATGTAAACGATCTGATCTCTGTTTATGAAATTTCTTGTAATGTACTCTCAGATGATCAGATCTAGATAGAAAAAGAAGATTATGCATATTAACGTGAATCCCATCTTATGGCATACATTGAGCCAGCATCACACAATCTATGGTGAGATCATGCTTTTACGTCGAAGCCTCTCAGTTAGTCTTTACGAGATAGATCGGTCAGACTTTTGATCATTTCCGTCCCTCACCGTTTTACTGGTTCTGACATACCTACTCCATCAACTGTCTCAGCAGTTCAATGTTATCTTGCAATAAGGGTATCTTGCGGTCATAGGTCTTTTTGAGAACCATGTTGTTCCCTGACTAAAGGATTATTCCCTTCCACATAGTTTAGGACGGCTATCCAAATAGTAAGAATAAAGTGTCTTTAGTTACCAAGTCTCTACTCTCTCCGTATAAACCAGACCGATAATAGAGTCTTCACAGTCTGTCGACAGTTTAGAATGTTTCAGAAACATATCAAATGACATTGCCAGCAGTCTAGCAATTACATCCGCCATGGCTTTCATGATCAAAGTTGTCCGAAAAGCTGGTTATACGTGGTTTGAGTAACCGTTATAATACTCGTTCTTCAATAACAAGAGGATCCATCAACATGCTGTCATTTTTTGTAATCAGTGATTATTCTTTCAAAGAGCTGTAAATGATCTTAGCATACCGCTAAATTTAGACCATGGTTGCTCAATTAATGAGCTAGTATTGACTGACGAATGAGCTGTTACACCAAATTCCTGGATGGCTGTAATGTTTACTCTCCAGACATTTATGGGAAAACGAACGTGATAATATATTATTATGCTGTAATCCTTTAACATGAATGACAAAACAGCATGATGGCTATCTGCTAATGGTGGAATAATATTTAGTCAGGTGATTTCCCCAGGTGCCTGAGTTATCACTAAGTCTAATAAAGAAGGTACTAGGTTTATATCGAAACATAAGGGTTTGGATACAGGCCTTACTGAATCAAATTCCATTGAAGTCATCAGGTACCTACCGTCGTCAAGTGCTATTTATCCTTGTGATGTCTGCCTCCGATTCCTGAAGCTGTATGGTCTTTGGTCTGCATCTTTTGCGTTTGTTTTGAAAATTCTGGACCAGGGCTAGCCTTTTGGTGTAGTATCTAATGATTTGTATAAGGTGTGTTTTATTCACAACCAACGTTTTATAGTGGAATGCTTTTACGATGAGAACACAATTGCTAAAATGGAAACACTTATTATTATAAACAACTATAACCATGATTGTTTTATTGTGCAAATGCTTGTTTAATTGTACTAAAGACCATAACTCACGTTTCAAGCTTGTTCCTACCATTCCTCGTTTCTCCTTGGTGGTTGTTAGCTACTGCTTTATCCCGATCTCGATATCATTTAGATATAACGAGACCACGAATCAATACACTTTGTCATCCAGTCATAGTCTTCTTTTCGATTTCTAGGTTTAACGCGACAAGTAGTCACGATCTCACAACAGTTGGTGAGCGACGACGACGGACACGCATCAACTGTGGTGAGTCTGTCATTTCTCTATCCACCTTTCCCACCATTTTAACTGTTGCATTATATATATCGATATTTTTTGTAGATGTACTTTATCTGCAACAGCATTCTATAATGGTGGTGAACAGACTCCTAATCACAGGTCATCGATTTTCGACCTGTCGCCTTTATTCCCCACACTCCAGAAGTCTTGTAGCTTGAAGCTTTACAAGCTCACGTGCGGCCAACGATCACTTCCCTGCTCGAGGATTCGCCAATTAACAAGGCTGCACTCATAGCGGTAAGATTATAGCGCGGACCAGCTTGCGAGACAACTACATAGTTTCCTTTACGTCACACGCAAACTAGGACCTCAACGCTAATCAACTTCAGACTCAACTAGACCAAGGCTGCCGCGTCCACAGCAGTCTGAAATTTCGAGACCGTTCTTTCTTTCCTGAACCCCACGTCCCACGAGCGCGCTCTCGATCAAGAAATGCTGCAAGTACTCGCCTATAGTGGGCATCTTCTAAGCCACGCCAAAAGGTAGCTTGGGAAGCGATTACAGGAAGTACCACTAGCGGCCACCTCAGGTACCATCCTGTGTGACAACTTTACTGATTTACCCATCATGCCCTCTGTTTATCGTCGTCTCGTCTCCGATGCCCTTCATGGATTGTCTCATCCAGATATCACGGGCACATTACGTCTCATCGCTGCAAGATACGTCTGGCCCTCCATGAATAAATGTCCGTATGTGTGTAAGGCAATGCTTAGAATGTCAACGATCAACTGTCCACAGACACGTAGCCGCTTCTATTGGCACATTTACTACGCCTGATACTCGCTTCGATCATGTTCAAACTGACATGGTAGGACCATTACCACTATCGCATGGGTGTGAACACATAGGTGAATCGATCGTTTCAAAAGATGGCCCGAAGCTATTCCCATTACTTCTACTACGGCGGAAACAGTTGCTCACCGCTTCGTGGAACGATGGATGGCGCTTTACGGTTGCCTCTGGACTGTCACAACTGACCGAAGACAGCTGTTCAAGTCTGAATTATTCTCCTCGCTAACCCGGCTGCCTGGCACAGAGCGCATACGCACGACCACCTAACTTACAGCTTCAACTGCTTTAGTCGAACGGTTTCATCGCCAGCTCATAGACGCTCTTCGAGCGCACAAAAACAACGATTGGTACGAAACCTACTGCTCGTCCTCTTAGGTATCAGAACGAGCTTAAAGGCAGATATTCTATGTTCCGTCGCTGAATTGGTATACGGCACGACATCGCATCTTCCTGGGGAATTTTTCACACCACGAATCAGTAATCACATAAATAAATCAGACTACGTCCAAACATAAGGTTTACAGATCTCATTCTTTTGGGTGCTTTAGAAGCAGGTAATGTCTCTCTTTTACTCGAGTTTTTAGTCATCATTAAAAACTGAGTGTGATAAGTGCTTGTCTAATTAACGCAGATACATAGAAGTAAAACTCATTATGTATTGAATGGGTTATTAGTAAAGTCAGTGGAGATGGGGAGAAATTTTACGGATAAAATGTTCATTTATCAAGTGGAGCCGTTACCGTATTCATAGGTTAACGGCGTTAATACACTGTTGTGGATTTACATGCGGTATTTCGGAATGTTAAAAGTATGTTTTAACTGATTTAAAACTTGGAAGGTTTGCTTTTTAGAATCAAACTGCATCGGAGATAACAGATAATTTGATCAAATCAGTATAATACCCTATAAACCAGCGATTTCCGAAGAAAGCTATACCACGATGAAAATTTTACCATTTAGAGAAGATCAGATATAAATCGTAACTTACCATTCAATTAATTTCTAGTCTTGCCCAATAAGTGATACATTACTTTGACGGATAGGCTTAAAATCAGTGATATAATTAAATAATACTGAGAAGCCTCGCTTATTTTTCAATACCTAGGAGTTCTCAAGGATGTAGGCAAAGTTATCGTTTTAGCAGTATCGGCAGATGACACCGGAATCGGGGGTGAAACAAGCTATTTCCAAGTATATGGAAAGCAACTGAGTTGAAGCACAGAAACCGTTGTGAAAGTGATCTATGTAAGTTAAAGTGAAGTTTGAGCTCTTCTTCAAAATTCGAGTTGAACTAAAATTGAGGGAGATAAGGCTGGCTAACAGAATATTTCCCTATAACCCCTTGATTTTTAATGTTAGGACACGAACTAAATGCAATAAAGTCAGAAGACAGTGTTGAATGAACTCCTCAATAACAACTTCGCGAACAAAAACAAAGGAGATTAAGTTGATTTGAAGCGATAATGTAGGTGAATTTACAAAGAGAAAAATGAGTGTGAAATAGTCAATCGGTATATCTAGTAGAGAAGTACCTCATGATGGCTATGCCGAGGAATGGTGCATTGTCTTTAATTTTCAAGTATCATTGTTCCGCAATAAGCGTTAGGTCAGCATCAACTTCCAGAGTTTAGTAAGCTGTTTATTTTATCAATCACCATATACTCTTTCTAGCTCTGTTTTTCTACAAAATATCACTCTCAAAGGCAGCACACATAGGTTGTTCAAACTAACAATGGCACTAAAACAAGACAGGCTTCATGAAAAGATCTAGCTGATTGGTAAAATCGTCTTCAACACGGAAACCTCATTCCGTCGTTCAACGTGTCTTCGTCAAGCCAAATTCGGCAGATTTTATTTGCGTGACTCACGTCTATCTTAAACTGCCAGGTAATTATTTACCTACGTCTGTTACCCCTTATGGAGTGTAAGCCACCGAAAAGCATTCTCCTACTTATTCTGTCTTGGGCCTTCATTTCGAGTTCTGTTCTAATGTTGTTAATTCATTTCATGTCTGCTTCCATTTACCGGTCCAATGTGTTCTTTAGTCTTCTTTTCCCTTGGCACTGAAAATTCCGAGTAAGGGCTTGTCTTGTGACACGGTAGGGCGCTTTCCTCAATGTATGTCCTGTCCACTTTGGGCTATTTTTCCTGATTTCTCCCTTTGCTGGAATCTGGTTTGTTCCATACAACAGCAGATTGTTGCTGGTAGTGTTTGGCGAGCGAATCCGAAGTATTCTTCGTACACAACTGTCAATTAATACTTGTATCCTTTGGATGATAGCTTTCGTACTTACCCAAGTTTTCGCCCCACAGAGTAGAACTGACTTGAGACGTGTATT